CTTGAGTGGTGCCCATTGGACCTATAGATCTGTACCTGCAGAAAGTCAGCAACCTACTATTTTTTGCGGTCACACTCACACTGCTGTGTCTGTAAAGCATTTTTTTTTCTAAAAAATGATGTATGACAGCAGGAAGAGAACTGATCAGGTTTGACAGTCTTGCATGTGTGCTACACACGCACACATGTTACACATCGCACGGAAACACACACACACATCAGTGCGTATAAATTTCTAATGACGTCGTACACGCTGTTTCAGTTCTACCCGACACTGCCAGTCAGGCACTGACAAACACGAGGCACAGACCACTCACCGCCAAAGCCCAAACCCAGCACACCGCTCTCCCAGGCCACCCGGCTCTGCCCGGACAGCCCGCTCCCCGCTCCCAGACCCGGCCCCGGCTCTGCCCCGACGGCCCGCTTCCCGCTCCCGGACCCGGCTGTCCCCGGCACTGCCTGCCTCCCTCTCTCTCCACACAACACTCAGCACTGCCGACAGTCCAGCCAAGCCCATGGCATGACACAGAAAAGTCCTGAGAGGGGACAGCGTTCCTACGTATCTGCATCCCTGGGACGCTACTGACAGGACCATGGGCTGAGTCTGACCACCACAGTGGTCCAGGGGAGCTTTGTGTCTGATTCCAAGGGGAATGCTACCACACTTGCTAATATTTTCAAGTCCTGCGTCCAGCTCTGGAGCACCCAGCACAAGCAGGACATGGAGCTGCTGGAGCAGGTCCAGAGGAGGGACACCAAAATGATCCGAGGGCTGGAGCACCTCTCCTATGAGGAAAGGCTGAGAGGGTTGGGGCTGTTCAGCCTGGAGAAGAGAAGGCTACAGGGAGAGCTTACAGCAGCCTTCCAGTACCTGAAGGGGTCTACAAGAAAGATGGGGAAAATCTTTTCAGCAGGGCCTATTGCGATAGAGCAAGGAGTAATGGCTTTAAACTAAGGAAGGGTAGATTTAGACTAGATATAACAAAGAAATTTTTTACCATGGGGGTGGTGAAACACTGGAACAGGTTGCCCAGAGAGGTAGTGGATGCCCCAGCCCTGGAAACATTGAAGGCCAGGTTGGACGGGGCTCTGAGCAACCTGCTGTAGTTGAAGACATCCCTGCTCACTGCAGGGCGGTTGGGCTAGCTGACCTCGCAAGGTCCCTTCCAACCCAAAGCATTCTATGATTCTACGATTTTATGATTTTATGCAGCTAAAAGCAAAGCGTCTGCATCTTACTGCCACAACTGTCACCCCATCACCATGAAGTGAGCAGTTCCGTGGAAGGCAGTCTCATTACCTCACTCCTTCTTAGCTATGACCCTGCAAGTAGTAAAACCTACCTCTTCACACTTGCAACTGCAATATTTCACAGCTTGAGCCATTATTTACAAGTCTGGAAAATGGGAGTAAACTGGGGTAGACAGTCTAGATGAAGCAGCTTCATCAGAGGCTTCAGTTTGCCCGTACAGGACAGCAGCTCCTTCCAGACACTGCAGCAGCTAGTCTTCTGCTCCCCACCAGCCAGTCTGCCTGCAATGTCACCCACCAGCTCCCCACATCCCCTCGCTCTTCTGCCATGGCCCTCTTCCTCTTTGCCCTCCTGTGGTACAATACTTCTTAATCTCACACACCTAAAGCCACTCCATGCTCCTTAACACCCCCTGACCTGAGAGCACCCTCATCTCCGAGTTCCCCCCCAAGAAATCCCCCCCAACTCTCCCGCTGCCCCACCTTCCTCTGCACAATCTGTCTTTCCAGCTACCAGCTCCAAACCCACCGCGTTGCCCGAGCACCTGCCGGGCGCCACGGACAGCCCTGGGACCAGCAACCAGGGCAGGCCTCCTCCAGACAGGAAACCCACGAGAATTTACGATCCTTGAAAATGAACTGAAAAAAAAACATCCAGTGTTCTATGCCTACAGACAGAACCTATTTTTCAGTATTTACCTCTAAAAGCACATGCGCCTTCACACCTCTACATGATGTGCGTGATTCTGTGAGACATAAGCAATACTGCTATCTATAATCTGTTATAATTAAGATACATTCTTCTAATACTACTGTTTTGAATAGCATATTTAGAGACATGCACTTTTGTTTCTGACTGTAAAATCAGCATTGCTCTTTAAAGCCTGTGCAACTGTTCATCACGCTGGGGCATTAAAACAGGATGCTCAATCACCCAGCTTGGCCACTAACACCATCTTTTGGCTCACCTGCTGACAAACTTGAAGAATGAGACAGGAAACAGAGAACAGATCTGGTTACCAGTTATTCAAAACACCAACTATTTCTCCAACCTTACTTCTCCAGCAATGTTACTTTGTATTCCCTTAGCACACCCAGAGGCACAGCAGGTATTTTAACTTTAGTACTTTAACTTCTGTGGAGGGCTAAGCATTACCCTAATTCACAAACTAAGACACATAGTTTGCTGCTGAACACTGCGACAGAGGAAAACAATCAGTCTAGAGTTGTTCTGTGATTAAAAAGATAGAAAAAACCTCGTAGCTGCGCAAGGATCTCCACCCTATTCAGATCAGTTATCTCCAATGCTGCATTTAATGTACCTACGTACTGCATAAGATACCACTAAAACTTCATGCACAGCTCGTTTTAGACAGAATCCAGGCTTGAGAATAACAGAAAAAAAAAAAAAGGGGGGAAGCTATCCCCCCAGCCTGTGAAACAGAAGAAACCTGGCAGCACTGGCTTCCCTGTTATGGCTTAGTTGTCATTACAGTATTTTTGACAAGTAAGATTTTTCTGCTTAAAACCTCTTAACTTCTGCACTTTTAAAATACTACTATAGATTGTCATTCTCAGAACACTGACAAATATGTGATCTTCTCTAGGAATCTTCTTTTTATTACAATGTCTCTAAGCATTTTTCATGGAAACTCAAGCCACTGCAAGCAATAATCTTGAAGATGATAACTCTGAAAAATACATCTTAGAGTCTTCTACAAGAACTATAAAAACAGAGCACTTCAGATGACCAGGTCACTGAATGATTTTGGTGTGGAAAATGGACTCATGTCCTAAGCCTGTATACTCACATAACATTCTATTAAGACTCAACTTTTGAAAATTATGCAAGCACTTTACATGCCTAAGAGCAGAGGTGAGATAACCACAGACTACAAAGCTCGAAACTTTGTATCTGAGTTTTTTTTCACCATATTAATAGATGTGCAAATATTCTACTAAAAAACATCCACTGCCCAGGGTGGTCTTTGAAATGCACAGGGAAGGAGGAGTTCTATTTTTGTAACAGATCATATGAAAAATCTCAGGAGGATCCTCAGAATAAACTATTGCATTACAAAATATTAATTAACGCAGAAGCAATGTTAAAAAAAAGGAGATGTTAGTTTACAGATGTTAATGTAGTGTCAAACCCTATAAATATGATGGATACAGCCACACTTCTTCAAGCGCCCTAATGATACTCTCAGGATGACTAGACTCCTTGTTCTCATTAGTAGTTCTAACACCAACACATGGATGATATGCAAACAAGGGATCCCTTAAGTGCAACTTACAAAACTCACTTTCAAACTTAAACTCTCACCACTAACCCTACCTTTGCAACCTCCCAGTCAGTGCCTCTGGCCATGCAAATTTACATACTCGAAAGCATTTGCAAACATATAACTAAAAAAAATCCTCTTAGCAAACTCTTCAGAACATCAGAGGATTCAGTAAGGTATTCTGCTTTTTAAGGCTTATAACAGGTAGCAAAGAAAATAATTCTTTAACAATTCGCAGTTATTTGTTGATTTGTAGTAAAACAGGATAAATAGTCATTAAACATTTGGATGGTCTTGGTTGTCACAAAGCATTAGGAAGAAAAAAACAGTGATTCTGTAAGTGCCTGCTTGACAAAATTGAACAAAACAAAATAGGTATACACTAGCTGAAAATAATGTACATTAAATATTAGGGAAAGGTTCCTAACTAATAGGGCTGGTAAGGCTGGAAAAGCCTTCCAATCAAAGCAGTAGGAACAAAAATCTTAGTCATTTTTAATTAATCTTCATTAGCTGATAAACGGGATTATACAATGCATCTACCTGAAACAGGAGAAATAAGGCATTTTGCTGCTGCTGTTTTTCTGCTGCTGTGCTCTAGCCCTCCAAATCTTAAGCAGTCCTACAAATACTACTGCCGTGAACTTTACTTTGTACTTCGAATAGACAGGGGGGAGAGCAATGCTCTGTTCACCATCACCCTATCCTTTGGATATTCTCTGTTAATAAACTGTAAAAGGAATTACTTTAAGCTAACATCAAAAGTCCCCCTGTGTTAATAACTTTATTTGCACATAGTTAGCAACTCTGCCTTGCTCCTACCACATATGCAATTTTAACCCAGGGATTTTTGCATAAACTAGAGGTGGGTTTTACTGTCGGTTGACTAAATTAGATGCTAACTCACAGAATCAATACAAGTATTATCTAACTTTCCTGAATAGGGTTTTAGTATTCTCTGTGTTGATAAACAAATCTTTTGAGTCTCTGGAGTAAAAAATACACATATGTAAATAAAGGGGGAAATAGTACTTTCTTCCGATGATCTCTATGGGGTAACGTAGTTCTAAAGAAAATTTGCCTGGGGGTAGAGTGAGAGTTAAATAAAATCTCCAGAATTTACCCGACCACCAGCACCACTGTATGATATGCACCCTGTTGGTGTACAGGTCTTGAAAATACATAAATTCCTATTCACTGTTTAGTGAAAAAGAAATTAAAGTCCTAAGGCTGTAAACACTATGGGTATTAAAATGATTTTAATGAAAAAGATAATTTCTTATAAAATAAATGTTGCACACCACTACAGAACATATGAACAACTTCTACTTTGTTCTGTAATTATGCACTTTTGTATTTAGTTTGATTAAAAATGAAAAACAATGAGCATTTACTGTCCTGACACTGAATTTTAATATTTAAGAAAACAAAGCTATATAACTTTTAAATTAACAATATTTTTTACCTGGTACAGGCTGTCTCTCATTCCATTCACTTGTGATTAAAACCTCTAGAATTTTTATGTGGTGTTCAGTATTATCAGAGCTGCAAGAGATGGATTTGACAGTAAGAACTAGGAAGAATGCAAAAGTTTATGTTAGCATTATTCAAAAAACATTGGAAAAATTCACAAACATGCCCTCCACATTAGAAGTAAGGTCAGAAAATTAAGCCATTAAACTTACTTTTGTATGCAACTAACCCATATTTACGGTACAAAATATAATAAAGATAACTCACATACCTTGCTAGCTGGAATTTGAAAAGCAGAGGGCTGAAAATTTCAGCCAGAGACCTTGCATTCAAGAGATTTTTGCTGGAGGTTTGACAAACTCTGAGGAAATGTTTGAGCAAATACTGGAGTGTGAGCCAGTACTGGGGAGGTATATTTGGAGATCTGATGAGTTTCTTCAGCAACTGAGCATGTTCCTCTGAGCTCTGCACTTCTGCAAGCAAACAGATAAAAGGCTCTTGATATCAGCACAGGAACATGCAACAAGTAAAATGAAACTATATACGACTCCTTTGGAAGCATCGATTTTACAGAAAACAAATAGTAATTCTGTCGTTCATTAATACCATAAGACTTCTTTCTTCTTTTGAAAAAAGTGAAATGCTCAGAGAAGAGTAAAGAACAAGTACTTAAAAGTCAAATGGAAACAGATATGCATTTTGGTAAAAACCACAATGTGTTCAGAGTGTACTGGTAGAAGTCTGTCTTGTGTTTAGCGTCACACATGATTGGGTAATTCTGAGATGCACTAGATAAGTCTCACAGGTGCGGTTCTAACTTTGAAGGTTACCAGTAACAATATCCTGTCCTGAGATATAGAACAGAATACTTGGCCCACGTGTTGAAAGTCTATAAGCTGTACTTGTTTGAAATGACCGCTGCAGATGATGAATCTTACATGCATGTATTTCTCACTTCGTAATCTGCAGCTCCCAATGTACCGCAGAACACCATGACCTCTAATACATTTACTTTGTCAGCACTGATAAAAAGTTAAAAATTAGCTTTCTACATACAGATAAGTCCTTGATTCCCCCCTCCCAGTTTTTCTATAGTCATTCTACTTACTAAAATGAAGAGAACTGTGCTATCCCTTGTATTTTCCATTATGTTTACCTAAATAGGTAAGTAAATAATTCCTGTCTAGATCTGAATTGAAACAGCTTTCATCAAAAATAGTGAAGGTGTATATGTTTTCTGAGATGCTGCCAAGCTGTGCAGAATCTTTCCTGTTCTGTGGGTGACAGCTGGACCACTAGATATTCAGAATCCTAATAAAAGCTTTTTCGTTTGACCTTTGAAATAACATCATAATCATACCTTGAGCTACAGAAATCATGTCACTGTAAACAGCTGCTGGAATGATGGGATTTGGCAGGTCCAGGAGATACCTCTTCAGAGCATCTGATAAAGTGTTCACATCAAACGTCTCTAAATCCAACGAAGTGGCATCTAAGAAACAGCAACATACTTTTTAGAAAATAGAAACTGGAAAAAATATACAGGCTCATGGTATTAGGGCTTTATACCAAGCCAAAACTGCTAACTTATATCTGGTTTATGGGGAACAACTTGTAAGAAAGAATGTAAGGCACCAAGAAACATCTCTGCGATGAAAAACATACAGTGCTCAACAACATGCCCAAGCCTTTGGCGTATGATGAACCAAATGGCTTCCACAGCTGCGTGTGGCCTTCTGTCATATACAGTGCAGGGCTGAACTCAGAATAACGGTAGTGACTTGCTGCACGTTGGCAATGTTATGGAACATAGAATATTTTTAACAGGTCTCTGTTTTACCTGTAAATATTTTGTATAAGAATTAAGTATTAATCAAGGGTCCAGGCAGATGCAACTTCTCTACTCGTAGCTACTTCTCCTATGACTGGAAGTTTGACTAACAACTTGGGGCTCCAAGTCTGTAGATATATACACGTGCAGAACTGGGTGCCTGGTGTTTTATGCAGCTGTCAGGATTTATCTTGTAAAACCTGATACTCTTCCAGCATAGTTATGACTTGGGATAAGGTTTGGGGAATGTCACATAAAGGACTACTTGTTAGCATGGAGCAAGGAATATCAGCAGCAAAAATAAAAATAGGAAAATGCAGAAACACTTACTTAGTGCAAGCAAAATTAGAATTCATGAAACTCTGGTGCAGTAAAGCCCTAAATGTTTACAAAGATCCACATCTGGTACAAGAATTTAGAGCTACTAATGTTGACCAACTTTCTAGGGTAGCCAAGTCCCCTGTAAAATAACTCCTGAACCTATTTGGCCAGTTTGAACCAAATTCAACAGGGAAACAGAGAAACCAGATATGTGGTGTGTCTACACATACTGTCAAAAAAGGCACCCAAGTGAGGGTAGTGAGAATCTCAGTGCTCCTCCACATCCTTTCTGTTTTCCCCAAAGGAAATCTGGCAGTATAAGCTCAATTCTTATCAGAAACCAAAGAATTTACATGAGAAAAAAGACACTATGAATGGCTCAGACGATAAAAAAAAAAACTTGCAGTGTGGGTATGAATTCTACAAGAGCAATTATGTGTCAGAGAATCCAACTACAAATTCACAAGAAATAGTTATCACTAGTCTTGTTGCTCACCGGACGTTTTTTATTTCACAAGCCAAATTACATCCTAGTTCATTCAGTGTTGACTCAGTCTCTGAAGTATATCCCAAATTATTAGAACAAATACATCAGTAAGACCAAACTTGTGGTACTCTGCAACTAGTTGGGTGTAATGTCATAAACAGACGTGAACTCTTCCATCTGTTGAGTTGGCCAGATGCATGTCAGCTTTGATTTTGGAGCTAGATGGCACTGTGTTGAAGCTAAGAGGCAGTTATCCAATTAATATGGAGAGCGTTTTAACCATAAGCAGAACAGCACGCTGATACAGTTCACAACTTTGAGACCAAAGCCAACTTTTCTCTGTGAATTAGCACTTTGCTAATTCAAAGAGAGAAGGCAGAGGAGATGAGATCTGTCTGTATCCATGGATTTGGACACCCACTGCACTGGCTCAGTTCTGGAAGATTCTGATCCTATCTTAAAGAGAACTCTGAAAGATACACTGTTCCTAAAGGGTATGGTCCTGTTTTCTTTTCTCTAACCTAATTACATTTTAAATAAGAATACATGTAAACCACAAGTTCTCGATCTCAGGAGACAGATGAACCCTTCACAAAAGCACACCTTGGTTCAGAGACTTAAAAAAGGATTCAGATATATGAAAAGATACATTCATATTGGTCCCACAGAAAATCTGTATTTATCTGGACTGAAAAATATAACTGCAATGCTCTTTTACGCAAGTGGAAGCGTACACCCCCATTGTACCCCAGCTTCCAAAGGCGTGGTCATGCACTCCTCCTCCAGTTATCTCCTGATACACAGTGTAACTGAGTCTTGCCACGCCAGTACTATTCCAGCCTGAAGCAGAAATAAAACGTACCAAAAGAGAAGGAAATACATTTCAGGAAACCTGAATGGTTGTGTTGTGTTAGTGGTATAGCTGCATTTTACTGTTCAAAAACCTGAGAACCCAGCCTACTGCAGCAACATTACTTCAATTCTCTCTTTCACTTCCAGCATCATCTCTGCAGCAGGCAGGGAATGTGCAGCTATTGCCTCTCCACTTACTGGACCAAAAAAATGCACACACAGAATTGTATGTAAACAAATGGACATTTGTTTACAAAATAATAACCTGCAGCCTTACAGGAATAGCGTATCTTTATCTTGCTTCTGAACAAAACACCTTGTTTTTCTCTGCACAGCTAGATTGTCAGTCCTTGAACAAGCAAGTGACCAAGAAAGGATTAAAAAAATTAGCCTTGGGAAAAAAAACATGCAGTGAAGCGATGAGAAAAAGACAACCTGTAAAAGTGAAAAATACCTTTCATATTAAGCGTAAAAGTTGAAACCTTTTTTACTTCTATTGTCTTTTTAATATTACATTATTCAAAACCATCACATACATATAAGCTCAGTAGGGGAACAGAGAAAAGAGGAACAGGCTCTGTCTAGTGCTTTAAGTAAGAGAACTGTACTTACCACATTCAAGAATCTGTCTTAATTCTGCTGAGCTGCTTGAGCCTTGTGTTCCGTACAAAGTTGAGCACTCCAGACCTCCAAAACAAAATTGATGGGATACATTAATATTCCAGTGACCGTTGCCATGACAAAAGATAATTCTGTTTTCTTCAATTAAGTAATTACAGTATAAATTAGCAACATTCTCCCACCACCATCTACCTACCACAGTATGGAATGTGATTGCTTTTTAAGGCTGTAAGACACCTCTTTGTACATGCAAACTTCTACGTCTGTAGAAAGAGCTGGCCAAGGAAGATCAGATATGCCAGCAGTCCTACCTTTTTCTGTACATCTGTCTACGGGCTGGCTATAGAAGGCCAGGACTAGGAAACAGATTCACGTACCCCAGGGAAGAAAACAGCGTGCAAGAGCAACATACTCCTTTACACTCTACATGCCAGCTGGAAACACCAGGTCTTTCAAGTGGGTAAGAAGTAAGCAACCTGAGCCAGGCCATCCCACAGGAATGGGACAGGGACATGACAAAAGTTCTAATGCATCCTAATTAGCTTGAAAGATTTAAAGGCTTCTAAGTTACAAGTGTGCCTAACCTTTGGCACCCTATGCAGTCAGCAGAGACAGAAAGCCCCTTCTATGTGACAGGTAACCCTTAGGTCACCTTCGACAATCCACAGAACTCACAGTGTATGTAAGGTGAGTGTCATATCACTGGTGTGAGAGAAAATGTCTCTATATGTCACATAATATGTCTGACAAACCACCTGAATAAAAGACACCAATACAGCGTTTTCATGTGAAAAACACTGTTTACAACTTCCCCACTTCAGAGAAAATAGAGGAGACACAAGGAAGGACACCACACCCAGGGATGCAGAGCACCAATGATTTAATAGTATCAGTGGCATTTCCTGGAAGCAATGGTTACTTACGCAAACTGTTGCTAAATACTGGCCCTTCTCATGGATATTAGCAACCTCCTACTCATTCAGTAAAGGCTTATGCTCTCTTAAAGTGTCAGAGCAGTATGTGAGAACCTGTGCCCCAAGGACCGCAGCCTGAATCCAATCAGGGTAGCACTTCCCCTCTTGCTCCTCAGCTGTAAGGCCATTGAGTGAGCAGGACCCACTAGATGCTCCTTACCTCACCAGGACTACAAAATTGACATCAGAGGAAAGGAGAGAAATAAGGCAAAAGAGGCAGGACATAGCAGAAGAAACAGGAAAGCCTCAAAAGAATGGAGAGACAACAACATGGGAAAGCAGGAGAGCAAAAAACCTTAAAAATAACACTGGCTGGCTCAGCATACAGCAGCAATAAAAACTGGCTCCTGAAGCATAAGAACTGTTCTTGAAAGTTTTTCATATATAAGTCTTTTATTTTTTTGTCCCACTTTGGGGCAAAATATTACTTATCTAGCTGTGTATCCAATTCAATGTTATGATGGCATTTCCATAACCATTAGGTTATAATAAGGTGCTTATTGGTTAGAAAATACAAACCAATACCAAAACCTTCTCCCTTACCTTCCAATAATACTTATATTAGTCAAGTTATTAAATGTCATTTGAGGTAAGCTTTGTTTTAGTTCCTACAGTTCAAGTAGCGTCTACTGAGCAGAAACAAATGCAACAAACCTTAAATAAGATTATATCATATCTGTTGAGTAATGTGATACATTAGCAGCTCTAGATACAGGAGATGTCAGCTCTGGATCAGATTCTACAGTTTTGGCTCAGATAAGTACAAAAATCTTGATAGATCATTCTTTGGCCTACCTTTCTTTTCAATTGTCTCCACTATCTTGATGAGAATTGGTGGAGCAACATCAGGAGGTGCGAACTGCTCTGTAAGATCTGGAAGTGAAAAAGCTGTAAAAGAGAAAGAAGAAAAATAAGCCAAGCTATAGTTGAATGCAATTTCTGTTTATGAAACTCATGACGCATAATGCAACCAGTTAATTTTTAAATATGGAACAAACATCCCACTTGTCAGGCCTAAATGAGAATAACAACAAGTAATCAGAAAGCTGAATATAAATGATGACAATTGCATATTTACAGCATTTTCTTTTAGGGACCTCAGTCAGCCCTTGAATCATCCTCCATATTGCCTAGGAAAAGAAAACACTATAAAAGTTTGCAGTCTGCAGATGGGCAGAAATACAATGCAAGGAAGAAAATGAAAAAATCTTTTGATCTGAAAAATTTACACTCAGTGTGCACCAGATGAGGGAGCTAAACACATCACCATCTGGGAGTTGCTGATGCCCTGGGTAAAACACACTTACAAATGCCTGAAATAGCAGTAGAAACAAGTATTTCACACTCATGCGGAAGTTCAGTAACTTTTGCTTTTTGTCAGTTTTCAAGCATAATACCATTAACAGTATAGTTTTCTTGAAGCAGGAATTTTCTTTTCTACAATGACTGGTTAAGAATAGTGATATGATCAGAAAGGGACATTTTGCAGATTCAAACCAGCCTGCAAACGGATTTTATACAAAGTCAGTTTTCATGCAATCTAGTTTCATCACGGAGAAAACATACTGTATAAAGGAATGTTCTGGCTCTGTAACGTGAGGGATGATCTATCTCTAAACACTGTATTTTTGCCAAAAGAGTAATTCAAAAGTTTTAGAGTGGTCATGTTTAACTCTTGGAAAGCAAGAACATTTACATACAGATATTACAAAACTACTGTCAGAAACATCTGGCATTGTTTGATGGATTCTGATTGGTCAACAAAGCTTAATCACTGAGGTAAAAATTGCCAGTTGCCTAAGTCATGGTGATCTCTGCCCAATTAAACTCACCACAGACAAACAGAGAGCAATGCTTAACACACACACACACACACACATATGTGCCTGCATGCGTACATATACATACATGCACGCACATGCACACACTGTATATCTACAAGACTGAAACTGAAGAAAATTTTTAGGATAACTACATAGAAGGAGAAAAAGAAAAAAAAAAACCACAACAGCAAAATATGAATAGAGTGTTTTTAATGAAAAACTTTGAGATAGCAAAAATATAAATAAACCAGAACTGAGAAAGAGAAAGCAGACAATTTTGGCTGAGAATTCATTCTATTCTGGAAGAAACAACTATATAACTTTCTAAAAATGCAAACAATTTAGAAGTAGTAAGACAGCAAGGAAGGTACAGAAGAAGTCTGGAAGTTCAGAAAACTGAGGAGAGAAATGAATAATCATTAAGAACTAGTAAAGGAAGTGGAGCATATTGGGACACTCGAAATATGTCACTTGCAAAAAGAAGCAGAATGATGGTACAGTAATGATGGAATACTTTCCACTCCATTCATAACTAAGAAGGACATTAGAAAAACATCTGTTCATCATAGCAGTTTAACTGAAGAGGCCCAGAAAATGAGCATTCAGCAGTCCCAAAAGAGTTGCCTAGGCAGATCTTTGGCCTGCTGATGTTACTTTTTAATGATTCGAGGAAAATCAGAGCAATTCCTGAGGATCAAAAGAGTTCGAATGCCCAATCCAGACTCTGAAAGGACAAGTAAGATGACTACACACTAGTTACATTATCAGTCCTGGGAAAAAAAACAGGAATATCTGATACTAGACTCATGTGATAAAGCAACAAATGACAGCACTGTAACTAAGGATTGTCTGCACAGCTTTTTAGAGGATAGGTTCTGTTAAAAACCACTCTACTTCCTTCCTTGGTCACACCACAGTTAGCTGAAAAATGCAAATGAGTAGCCATAATAAACTCAAAAGATTTTTCAGATAGTTGACAGTATAACACTGTGATTAAAAGCTAAATTCAAAGAAATCACATGTCACATAGTTGTAGCTGACCAACAGATCTCCAATATAGTTATTAACACAGAACAAACTGCTCAGTGAAGGAATGGACTTTTCATCTCCTTACATCTTCAAACCACTTTCAGGTTCCACCTGGAACATCTCTTTTAACTTAACATCATATCTGCTTCATCAAACACAACTTGGGCTCAAATGGATGCTGCACTCCAAACAGCCTCTGCTGAGGCATGCTGAAATACAGACCATCTGATTTATAAGATTCAGATCAAATAGTTCTTTTAGACCCAAAATTATGAACCTATTTTAGGATGAGGGAAAATCTATTAAAATAATAAATTATCAGATCGGAGTCATATCAAAGCGTATGCTATGAAAATACTCAAATTATGAGATACTAATAGACTCACAGAATGCTAAGGGCATAACATGCATCCCTTACATGGTAGCAGAGAAAGAACAGGTTTTAAGAACAGAGTTTTATGTATTTTTACTTATGAAAGTAACTTTCTGCTCCCTCATGTAGCTAGTTACATTAAGTGAAGTTGCATCATCTCTGAACAAAGATGCCCATCTCATAATTCCAGCAGCATGCAGCAACAGTCAACCGTCTAAACTGAAACTGAGGAAAGAAAGGCGAGACACAGAAGGAGAAACAGAGACACAGGACGGAAGTCAAACTTGACAGACATTTGAAACATTTCAGGTCACAGCTTGGCAGTTCAGGGATGGTCCATCTAGGCTACTGAGCAGAGCAGAGGACTATGCTTTCTCACATTAATCAAACTGTGCCTTGAAATGATGGCAAGAGATACACACCAAATACCTACAAACAAGATGTACTTAGAAAAATAATTCCATTTCCCACTGGATTTATATTTTCTACATAAGTGACAGAGTCCAAGCGAAGGTCTCAAAAAGTCTCAAAAATTAGAACCCAACATCAGGGGAAGACTTCAGTTCATGGGAGGAAGCCCTTGCAAGGTGAAGAAAGACAGTACAGAAAACTGTGTGTCTCCATGAGACGTAAAGAATGGGCTGGATGTAGATCTTACACAGATTACCTAAACAGAGAGTGCCTCTTCCTGCAACCTACCTGATGCTCCATGCTTTTCATCTACACTTTAAGCAGGATCTTAGCTTATAAACTAGGTTTGTATCACAGTCTGCTACTGAACCTCTTTGCTGCACAGTATTCTTGGATCAATAATACTCTTAGTGAAAAGCTTTTGGCAGTTACGCATTTACCTTTGTATTTATGCAAAACCCATACCTACAGAACATATATATGTAAAGCAACTGTCATGCTGGTTAAAAGGAAAGATTTCCAACATTCCTTTGTGACCCTAAAATACGCAATTGGAAAAAGACTAACATTTTAGGAGTTCAGAGGATTTCTGACGTCTCTTCCTTCCTATACCCCATTCCTTTTCTCCAAAACTAGAAACGTCTGTCTACGAGGGACATTACTGAACTTTCAGATATGAAGAGAGCTTTTAAAACAATGACAATCTATTCCATAAGTACATAAACTGTAAAATAGTTACGTATTTGACTGAGAACTCAGGATGTTCACCTCTCTTAACAGTAGGCACACACTGGTAAGTATAAGCTCTACAGCAAAAAGACACAAACGCATACACAATGGCAGGTACAAAACCTGCAGTTACCTTCAATGCAGCAATGACAAAACAATACATCTAAGTCACAAAGTTTTAGTGCTCAGCACCATCGAAAAAAACACTCACTTCATCAGCATGTAGGAGATGGCATTAACAAATTAAAATCACTTAACCTCCCACTTGTTCTAGCATTTCCTACTCATTGAGCCATCTCCAATGTAATTAGCTCATAGCATGATACTGACTTGTACTTTAAACTTCCCAACTTTTGCACAAAATAGAAAATTATATTAATTTAAAGGCGAAAGGCCTAACAAAACACACATCTGTCAGGCAAAAAAAAAAAAAAACTTAACCGCACTTTTAGAACTGAAGCCGTTTTATAACATTTACACAGAAGACAACCAAATTTGGGAACAGTGCCCTTCTATTTCAAAATGCTGAGAGGCAATGGCAGAGGCTAAACTGAAGAAAACTACACCTAATTTTGGGGGAAAAAAACCCAATTTCACTCCCAGAGCCAGAATACAAGATATCCTTAAAAAAGTCCTGATTGTAGATAAAGTGTACCAGAAGAAAACTCAGCATGCATATTAAGATCTACAGAGGGAAAGCAAAACTTTTCAGATAGGTCAGTTTTAGTAAAAGAGAAGAGAACAAAAGCGCACATGCAACCTGCTTTTAGTACCTGATTTCAAAAGTATCTTTTGCTTTGAAGCACGCTGTAGCACAGCACAGAGGTTTGGAGAACCAAATCCACTCTTAAGAATCTGGGCAACTTTGTAGATCCCTTTGCCACAATCCAGAATCAGTTTTTCACTTAAAGCAATCATTTTTCCCCCAAATTCCTGTAATTTTTCTGAAATTCCACAATCTCCAAAATATTAAGCTGTCATACAGTTTTCATGTCTTCCTTCTAGTCACAAGTCTGGTAGTGGGTCTCCAGATAGTAAGGAAGCTTCAGATGACACATGATAAAATCTGGATTTTCCACTAGTTCTATTTTTACCTTGCCACAGTGAGAACCAATGAGATGAACCACAAGCCAGGGTTCGCTCCAGTCTGCAAATCCTTCCCTCTCCCTGATACAGACAGGCCTGAACAGCTCTAAGGCAAAGGCAATGTGTGGGAGACGGGAGCATACCTTAGGTTCAAGGGTTGCCAACACCGCTACAAAGTGCAAGATGAAACCAGCACACAGCTGCACCTTTTGGAAGGGTTCTCAGTAAAAAGAGATACTTTAGAGTTAGTACCTGGCAACGACAAGTGGAAATTTAAGGCTTGAATTTGGCTTCAGACACTTCTGAGCCATATCTTTCATTACTGCTAGAGTAAGAATGAAAATGAATGTAAAAAAAAGGATTATAACTTAAAACGTAACAATACACACCATGGAAAGGAGCTTAATTTCCACATATTTTACAGGAACTATATACTA